TGATGTTCTAAAAATTGGATAGACAGATAGTGACAACAAATTATTTACTTCCTAATACTAGGTTTGTGTGGCATTTTTCCACAGGAGAGGTTCTATTGATTAAAAATTCATTGTAGATGACTGAGAAAGCATGTCACATGTTCCACTTAGAAAAAAATGTTTTCATATAAGGGTCTGATTGTATATTGCATCTCGTAACAGTTTGGCACAGACTTCTATTTCATGGAAATAGATGGATTCATGGTTTTTCTATATCTATCGAAGTTTTTAGGTAACAGTCAGGTAACTGATGACAACCTCTAGGAAAGTAATATTTATGTAGAAACACTCCAAAGACAGCTTGGCAAAAAGTTGATAATTACTGGATTTGTGGTGGAAACCAATAAAGGAATCTAGGTTTCCAGTCAAGATAACTTTTGCATCCGTGTATGTCAGATATGTCATGATAACATGGCATAATCATTTAGAAAGTCTTTTTCAAGGCAGCCAGTTAAAAGGTTGGTTTCTATATAGCAGGGCTATACTCCTGTTTATTGTTCTATAAAATCTGGTACAGTTGAGAATAGTGACAACATGGTTATTCTAATGGGAAAATAGAGAGATGTATAATCTTTCAAAATTTTGGTCCTTTTCTTCTAAAGCTTCAAGCATGTCCCATCATGAGGTGGCACATGGACATATAGTAGTTCTACAGAGGCACTGCAGAATACTATGAGGCTCTTTGTCAGTAGGCTCATTCTGCTGTGGAATCTGTGGAGAAAGTCTCTTGTTCTCTGTGGAAAGCTTCTTTTTAGACTAGTGTCAGACTCAGGTATACAGTCCTCGTGGTTTATGATCAAAATTGTGTCTTTTGCTGTTTCTGGCTTAACCACTACTTGGGTGTTGAATCTGAAGCACTTCTCTCAGTGACAGTTTTTCACTGGTATTTATTGTTGGTTATTACAAAGCCAAATCTAAGACAATCAGTATCACAGTTGAAGGTGCAATCTAGCCTGATACAAGATTTTTAAACCTATGCTTTTATGATACTGGTCATCTCCTGGCATTTGTGATATGAAACAACAGCAGTGGAAATGCCTTAAAAATACCTTTTTTAAAAGAAAGTGATGAAAAACACTGCTCTCATTCTTTTTCTAACAGTAATTATTCCTGTTTCTTAGGTCAGAAACACTCATCTCTGCCAAGGACAGAACTGATTATCTCGTTTAGGCTGCTAAGCTTGTAGAATAAAGAGAATGTGAATAAGATATCCAATGTAGAATAAGACATCTCAAAAAAAGTGGGATTAATTATGCCTATGTTGGTTTTTTTTATACAGTTGCCTACTATGTTATTGTTTTTCTTTAAAACAAAATTTTGAACTTATTTTTGGCATCATCTCCTCTTAAAGAAACTAGGACATAAATCTTCTGACTGGAGCAGAAGTACGGTACATCCAAGACAGTGATTTTGATGACAGAATAACTGCCAAGAGCATCTCCCTCTTCACACTTGTTGGAGTCTGAGATGCAGATGTGTGTCTGCCCTTGTTTCTGATACTTAGTTCTAAGATCCAGAAAAACACTGAATTTCATATAATATGAAATTCATGAGCATGTTTTCGTGGTGATACATGAGAACAACTGTTAAAGTCAGATAGAAAAAGCTAAAAGTGTGAGCATGTAGATTAGAAAGTTTTCTTAAGTCACTGGGTGAAAAAGTAGTTTGGAGAGCAGAAGAAAAGATGGAGGATTTAGGGTGTTGTCTCTTGTCCTTCTTCTTTCTTCTTCATGTTCTTCTCCTAGAGGTTTTTGGGTAATAGTAAGTGATTGGACAGAAAATGCCGTAGTGCAGCACAGAGGTGATGAGTCATTGGGTCATTAAGAAAAATAATATACGTATCTAGTGTTAATTGGGTAAAAATAGGTATAAAGATAAAAGAACTGTGTATTTCGGGGCCGTTTTGTGCATCAGACACAAAGTGTGCCACAAAGCCTTGTTTGTACCGTCAGAAGAATGAAATGTACCAGATTGCAAAGATTCACCTTGTGTAGCCAGCCTGGAGAGACCTGTTAAGTTTTGTGTTGACCTGTTAATAAAGACGAGAAACAAGATTCAAACGAGCTCGGGAGTTTTCTTCAAATCAGAACTGCGATAAACAGAGCTCCCCACGAGGGAGGATCCCAAAAGAATTCAGTCCAAAGGAGGCTGAGAAATCCAAGAACAAAAAGAAAAACACAGAAGAGATGCAGCAGAATCAGAGAAACAGAAAAAGGATTTTTTTAGAGAAAAGTTACAAGAAGCACACCAAAAGCGCTTGTGTCTGAGAGATGAGATGATTAGGTGAGACTTGCAAAGGAACATTAGGAACATGTGAGGAAAATCAAGAGTTAGGTGTGCTCGCCAGGCTAGCGCGGAGACTTGCTGGACATCTGGAGCTGTTCAGCTGTGTTATCTACCTTTGACTGATGCAAGGAGCTATTAATCATCATGCTGCCTTAATTAATAGGATTAGTCACCCATGTCTCAGGCTAGAGAGTGAAGACACAGGCAAGCAGCTTAGCAGAAGGTTTTCTAGGAACATAAAGAAGGAATCCAGGACATTGTCCTGTATTTCCTTTTAAAACAGCTCTGAGAAATCCCCAGGATACTCATGTTAGGAGAAAAGCCCTAGACGATTTAGGTGCCGAGTCTTCTGCACTTGTGCAGACTCCCGTCCAGTGGCTGGTGCGCGGCAAAAGGAGTCTACAGCACCCGGTGTTCGCCGGCGGTCTCCCATCCAAGTACTGACCGGGCCCGACCCTGCTTAAGCTTCCGAGATCAGTCGGGATCGGGCGCTCTCAGGGCGGTCTGGCTGTAGGCACTGCTTTCTCTCTCAGGAGCGCCCACCTTCCTGCCGTGCCCCGCAGCCTCACCAACACAGCCCAGACACGCAGAGCACACAGCCCGGCCACCAGGGCTGCCTGTGGCCACAGCGGACTCGGAGCCACAGCCAGCAGCACACAGGCCACACAAAGCACAAAACCCACACCAGGCCAGGCACACAAGGCACACAAAGCACACCAGGCACCTGTGCCCACAAGCTCCTGCCCCTCGCCAAGGCTGCCCAAGGAAAACAAGGCACCTGCCGGGACCTGTGCTACTGTTCAAAGTTATTAGTCTCTGCCATATAATAGGAATAGATGGTCCAAAATTAAATGGCCTCAATGTCACCAGGAGTTCTTCACACAGTGCAGGTGTGACATTTGAAAGCAGACAGAATATTGTCCTTTTTTTCTGTGTAACTTCTGGCTGCAAGTCTGTGGCCATAGGGAGATGCCACAATGTGTCATTTAAAAATCATCATTTTTAAAAGCCCAAACAACCAACCACAGCTTCATCTTTCTTGGAGGACTTTATCAGTTTATTCCATAACAGGAGCACAATCTAACCAAGAGAACACAGAACTGTCATTCCAAATACATGGGCTATGCCCCTTCCACTTGGCTAAGGGGCTGGATTTCCATCAGTGACCACAAGCCAGGACTTTCAACAGTGTTTGCTGCCTTTTTCTCTAAGGCATCATTTGGGATATTTTATGGCCTTTAATTAAATGCAAAAAAATGCTATCTTTTCAAATACTTTGTAAGGAACTGAAAAGACAAACTTTCCACAGCCAAACAAAAATAGTGTGTATGTCTCTAGATGCATATATGGAGGTGGAAAAAGACAAGAGGATAGAAGATAAGAAAAAATAGTTAATAGGATTTTTCTTAAAATAGGATTTTTTCGTCTGGGATTGGGGGGAGGAGAGGAGGGAGGGGCAGGAATGGGACAGTGCTCCAGGGTCTGTGGCAAACAGTAAAGAAAAATATGGAGAGGTGTCAGAGAAGTAGAGGTGTCAGAAAATTAAAGGTGTCTCCAATAACATAACTATTTGAATTTTAAGATGGAGTGTCTGTAGGCAGCTAAGCAGGGAGATGACAAGGATGGGAGTGTGAAAGAGTTAAGGATCAAAGGAATTGCTCGGGATGGATCTATCTGTGAATAGCACTAACACAAGTTTGCTGCCATTTTAAGCACCAAGTGCTCCACTCAGCCATACTTTGAGATCAAGTTCCTGTAAAAGTATATATTTAAGTTACGTATGAGGGCATTTCTTCACACAGGAAAAATTTGAGCTATTCCTGCAAAGGCATGCAGCTCAATATTTGAGATATAGAGTGGTTCTGCAAGGAGATCTGTTTTCTTAGACTGATGGACTTGGAATACAAATATGAGTCCGATGTTTCTTGTGACACCTATGTCTGGAAGTTTACAGTAACCTTGAGGTGATGGCCCTGCTTCAAATTCATGCATTATGTCAGTGAAGAACTGTGCACGGACTGGAATAGCTGCTTAGCTGTATTTTCCCAGGAGACTGAGCTGTGTGAAATCATCTAAGTGTTTCATGGGGCTTTCCATTTCTGTTCCTTTTGGGAAGGCAGATTGCTTCAGTGAGCTGAGCATTGAGACATGAAGGTCACACAACAAAAAATGTGGAAAAAACTATTTCAGTTGGAAGAGTCCTACACCAGTCATAGAATGACAGAATCATAGAATGGCTTGGGTTGGAAGGGACTTTGAAGATCATCTAGTTCAAATCACGCTGCCACGGGCAGGGACACCTTCCTCTAGAGCAGGCTACTCCAAGCCTTGTCCAGCCTGCTCTTGAACACTTTCAGGCATGGAGCATCCACAGCTTCTCTGGGCAACCTGTTCCAGTACCTCACCAGCCTCACCCTAAAGAATTTCTAACATTTCATCTAAATGTACTTTCTTTTGGTTTCAAGTCATTTCCCCCTATCCTATCACTACATGTCCTTTAAAAGTCTCTCCATCTTTCTTGGAGCCCCCCTTTAAGGTGCTTTAAGGTTGCCCCAGAGCCTTCTGTTCTCCAGGCTGAACAAACCAAATTCTCTCAGCTTGTCATCGTAGGAGAGGTGTTCCAGCCCTCTGATCATATCCATGGTCTCCAGCAGTACCATGTCCTNGGTCTTTTAGGGAAATAATTTTAGCATTTTTTCATAACATTTGGGTGTTTGGGGGAAATATTTGGGGGTTTTGAGGGGGAATTTGGGGTCCAGGAGGAAATTTTGGGAAGAGTGGATTTGGTTGTTTAGGGGCACCCCTCATATTTTTGGGGAGGAATATGGGAGTCTTTGGGAGGGGGAGGAATTTTGGCCATTTGGGGTGTAATTTGAGTGTCTTGGGGGGATTTGGGATTTTGTGAGTATTTGATGGTTTTGAGGGGAAAATTTGGGGGGTGGGGAGAATTTTGGGGTTTTTTTAGGGTTTTGGGGGGAAATCTGGTTTTGGGGGGGAAATTTGGAGTTTGGGGGGGGATTTTGAGTCTTGGGAGGATTTGAGACTTTTGGGGGAGTTATGGGGGTTTGAGGGTTTTGGGGGAGATTTGGAAGAAATTTTGGCATTTTTGGGGAGGAATTTGGTGGTTTTGGGGGGAAATTCACGGGTCATGGGGGGTTCTGATTTTGGGAAGGCGATTTGGAGATGATTTTTTGGGTTTGGGGGAAATTTCCATTGATAGGGAGGGGTCCTGATCCCAGTGAGGAGGGGCATTATGGGGAGGCAACCTGAATTTGCAGAGGGGTCTCAGCGGGGATTCTTGATTTTGGGGCTGGATTTGGGGTGGATTTCAGGGGATTTTCCAACGATGAGGAGACATCTCAGGGGTGGGATTTGGGGAGGGGTCTCATTGAGACACCATCATGAGCTGGAAGTAAGGGGGATGTTGGGAGTGGAATTTGGGGAGGATCGGGGGGAGATTTTCCAGCCATGGGGAGGGGTCCCAATCCCTGGGCGGTTCCTGAATTTGGGGAGCAGTCTGGAATTTGGGGGGCAATCTCATCGGGGCAGCAGGCGGAGCTGGAAGTGGGGCGGGATGTTGGCGAAGCCGCTCACCAGGGGAGCCGTGGGCAGCTCCTCGGGGGGTGCCGGGGGTCGCGGCCGCAGGCGCTGCAGTAGCGAGGTCAGGAACAGGAACAGCTCTGCCCGCACCAGCGCCTCCCCCAGACACAGCCGCTTCCCTGTGGGGAGGGGGCGTCAGCGCCGCCCCACCCCAAAGAGTAGGGGGTCCCAAAAGGGCTGCGGGTCTCAAGAGGGGCTGGGGGTCCCAAAAGGGCTGAGGGTCTCTAGAGGGACTGGGGGTCCCAAAGGGGACTGGGGGTCCCAAAAGGGCTGGGGGTCTCTAAAGGATCTGGGGGTCCCAAAAGTGGCTGGGTGTTTCAGGGGTTGGGGATCACAAAAGGACCTGGGGGTTTCTAAGGGGTCTGGGGACTTTGGGGGCTATGGGATCCCAAAAGGGTCTGGGGGACCCCAGAAAGGGTCTGGGGATTTCAAGGTCTGGGGGGGTCTGTAAAGGGTCTGTGAGCTTTGGGATTGAGGTCCCAAAAGGGTCTGGGGGTTTCAGGGGTGGGGATCCCAAATGGGTCTGGGGTTCCCACCCTGAGGATTTATGGGATTTAGGGGATCCCAAAAGGATGTAGGGCCCCTCCCCAAAGGTTTTATGGGATTTTTGGGATTCCAGAATTTAGGACCCCACCCCAAAGGAATTTTGGGATTTTGGGGATTTCAGAAGGATTTAGGGCCCCAAGGATTAATGGGATTTTGGGGGGTTTTTGGGGTGCCCACCAGCTGAGAAGGGCACAAAGGCTTTGTTGCGCTGGAACCGACCCTGCTCGTCCAGGAAGTTCCCAGGGTCGAAGTTTTGGGGGTTTTTGAAGGATTCAGGGTCGTTTAGGACCGAGCTCAGCAGGGGGTAAATGTCTGTGCCCTGTGGGGTCAGAAGAGTCATTTGAGGTCAGGTGTGGGGTCAGAGAGGTCATTTGGGGTCATTGGGGTGACTTGGGATTACTAGGGTCAGTTGGGGTAGTTGGGATCAGTTGGGGTCAGTTCTGGGGTCAGAGAGGTCCTTGGGGTCATTCCAGGTGTTTTTAGGGGTTTCAGGGGACTTCTGGATTTTCCATCACCTTTGGGATCAGGAATCCCTGAAGTTTTGGGGGAATTCCAGGGATTATTAGGGATTTCCTCTCACCTTTGGGATCTTAGGGGAACTTCAGGAGGATTTTTGGAGATTTTACAGAGGTTTTTAGGAGGATTTTCAGGGGAATTTCAGGAGATTGTAGGATTTTTTAGGGTCCTCTCACCTTTGGGATCTTAGGGGAACTTCAGGAGGATTTTTGGAGATTTTACAGAGGTTTTTAGGAGGATTTTCAGGGGAATTTCAGGAGATTGTAGGATTTTTTAGGGGAATTTCAGTGATTTTAGTGGGTTTTTTAGGGGAATTTCAGAGGGGTTTTAGGTTTTTTTAATGTAATTTTAGGGACATTTCAAGAGATTTTTATGGGGTTTTTTTAGGGGAATTTCAGGAGATTTTACAGGGGGTTAGGGAAGTTTCAGGAGGTTTTAGGGTAATTGCAGAGGGTTTTAGGGGAATTTTGGGGGGATTTTCATTTGGTTCTTTTAGTGGGATTTTAGGAGATTTTAAGGGGATTTCAGGAGGATTTTTTAGGGGAATTTCAAGGAATTTCAGGAGGATTTTTGGTATATTTTAGAGGGATTTTAGAGGGATTTTTAAGGAAGATGTCAAGTGGAATTTCAGGAGGAATGTAGGGGGATTCCAAGGAGATTTTGGGATTTTAGAGGCATTTTAGGGGGACTTTTTAGGAGAATTTCAGGGGAATTTCAGAGAGGTTTTCAGGAGGTTTTCTTAGGGGGATTTCAGGGAATTTTAGGGGGATTTTAGGGATATTTCAGAGGGACTTCAGGGAGATTTCAGAGAGGTTTTAGGGGCATTTTTTAAAAGAATTTCAGGATGGTTTTAGGGTGGTTTTAGATGAAATATTGGGGGATTTTGGGGTTTTTCCCTCGCCTTGGGGATGCAGAAGCCCCGGAATTCCGTGTCCCGCGTCACCCGGTGCGGGACGTTCATGGGGATGGGGTCGCTGCAGCGCTGGATCTCGTGGATCGTGGCATCAGTGAACGGCATCAGCGAACGGTCAGCGAGGGCTGGAGCCCGGCCAAAGCCCACCACCTGTGAAATCTCCTTGAAAATCTTCTCTGGGGGCCGGAAAATCAGGATTTGGAATGGGGAATTTGGGAATCTGGGATTGGAGGAGCGGAAGTTTGGGGATTTGGGATTTTGGGATTTGGGATTGGGGAATTTGGGAATTTGGGATTTGGCGACTAGGAATTTGGGAATTTGGGAATTTGGGATTTGGGAATTGAGATTGGCAATTGGGTTTTGGACGCAGGATTGGGAATTTGGAGATTTCAGAATTTGGGATTCAGAATTTGGGTTTTAGGAATTTGGGATGGGAATTGGGTTTGAGGTCTCACCTTCCACCTGGGGGTGCCTCATGAGGAAGAGGAGGCCAAAGCGCAGTGTGGAGCTCATGGTCTCAGTGCCGGCAAAGAAAAGGTTCAGGGTAGTCAATTCCAGGTTTTCCATTGTGAATTCTGACTTGGGGTTGTCCTTTTCCTGCAAAAACCCAGGCATTCCACTCTAAAATCTGGAAACCACCCCAGGATCCCCCAAAGATCCAACCAAAACCACCCCAAACACCCTCAAACTCCTGCAAGACCCCTGAAAATCCCCCCAGGACCCCTAAACCCCTCAAGAACCCCTCAGAATCCTCCCAAATCCCCCCCAGTCCCTCCAGGACCCATCCCCAAATCCCCCAAGACCCTCCAGGACCCCCCCAACCTGCCCAGATCCCATGTAAACCTCCCAGGACCTCTCGTCAACCACCCCTAAGACCCCAAGACCCCCCAAATCCCTCAACAGCCCTCCCAAACCTCTCCAGAACCCTCCCAAAGCCCACAAAGTGCTTAGAACCCCCTCCAGGACCCACAAGACTCCCCCAAACACTCCCAGTCCTGCCCAAAACCTGCCCCAAGAACCCCCCAGAAGCCTTCCCAAGCCCCCGGGACCCCACAAAAGTGCCCCAGGCCCGACCAAAAACCCCCCAGGAGCCCCCTAAACCCCCACCTTGTTCATCTGGATGAGGAAGGCATCGATGAAGTCGCGGGGGCTGTGGGGGTCAAGGGTCCGGGTTCGTCTGGATGAGGAAGGCATCGATGAAGTCGCGGGGGCTGTGGGGGTCAAGGGTCCGGGCGTTGTCCTGCACACGCTGGGCAACGAAACTCCTCATTGTCCCCAGCAGCTGTGGGATGCGCCGGTGCGGGCCCGGCACGAACTTCAGCAATGGCTCGGCCATGTTGTACAGCTTCAGGGAGCCCAAAAATTAAAAAAAAATATTCCTAAAATTATCCCCAAAACAACCTGAAAAATACCCCAAAAACATCCAGAAAAATCACCCCAAGAATCATCCCAAAGTACCCCAAAATCAGCCCAAAATCATCCAGAGAATCCACAGGTCACCAAGCCCTAAAATCACTGCAAAAATCACCCAATAAATATTCCCCCAAAACAACCCAAAATCTTCCCTAAAAATCCAGAAAAATCTCCCAAAAAACCACCCCCCAAACCATCCCAAAAACTACACCAAAAACATCCCAAAACCACACCAAAAAAATCATCAAAAAAATAGCTAAATCTCCCCAAAATCACTGCAAACACCACCCCCAAACCAGCTCAGAAACTCCTAAAAATCACCCAAAAAAGCACCTCAAAAACACCCCAGAAACAGCAAAAAATCATCCCAAACACCACCCTAAAAACACCCCAAAGCCTGCCCAAAACCACCACCAAATCGTCCCAAAACATCCCAAAACCACCCAAAATGCCTCCAGAGCTCCTCATTCTCTCAGTGTGGCCCCAGCACCAACCAAAGGAAGGGTTTGGCCATGTTGTACAGGTGGGGAGCCAAAAATTGCCAAAATCAGCCCGAAAATACCCCCAAAACCCTGCAAAAACTGCCTCAAAATTCTCATGAAAAACACACCAAGAATCACCCCCAAAACACCTCAAAATTGTCCCAAAACCACAGAAAAAAACACACCAAAACACCTCAAAATTATACCAATAATACCTCAAAACCCACCCACCTCAAAATTATACCAATAATACCTCAAAACCCACCCCATATACAAAAAACATCCCAAAAAGCAGTATTGAAAGCACGTTAAAATCACCCCAAAATCATCCCCAAAAACACCCTTAAAAAAGCTAAAATCACACCAAAAACCACATCAAAAACACCCGAAATCCTCCTCAAAACCATCCCAGAAATCACACCAAAACACCCCAAAAACTTCACAAGTCATTTAAAAAAATCAAAAACAACACCTCAAAACCATCCCAAAATCATCCCTAAAACACCTCAAAACGACACCTAAAACCACACCAAAACCACCCCAAATCACCTCAATCTCCTCATCATTGCCAGCAGTAGCAGGATGCACCAGTGTGGGCCCAGCATGAACCATAGTAATGGCTCAGCCATGGCCTACAGCTTTCAGGACACCAAAAATCCCAAAATTATCCCAAAACCACCACAAAAATTGTCCCAAAATTATCACAAAAATTGCCTCAAAGTTATCACAAAAACCAGCTTAAAACTCACACCAAAACAGCCCAAAAACGAACCTATACCCCACACCAAACCCCCCAAAACTATTCCAGAAACACCTCAAAGTCCTCCCAAAAAATCCAGAAAAACCACTCCAAAAATCCAGAAAATTCCTCTCAAAACCACCCAAAAAACCAAAACCACACTAAAAATGGCACCAAAAGTACCCCTAAATCATCCTAAAAATACTGCAAAAACAACTTCTCAAACACACCTAAACCAGCCCCAAAAGCACCCCAAAACCAGCCCAAAACAACTCTCCAAAAATATCCACAAATCATTCCAAAAATCCAGAAAAATCACCCACAAGCCACCCGAAAAACACCTCTTAAAATAGCCCAAAAATGACCGCAAAAGCAGCCCAAAACCACCTCAAAAACGACATAAAAAAAACCCCACCCTCAAAATACCTCCAAACCACCTGAAATCACCCCAAAATGCCCTGAGCTCCTCATCCTCCCCAGCAGGTGCGGACTAACTGCAGAAATGTCACAGGACAATCTTTGAGGACACCAAAAATCCCAAAATTGACTCCAAAATGACAGAATTGCCCCAAAAACATTAAGGAAAACACACCAAAAATCTCCCCAAAACCACCACCAAAACACCTCAAAATCATCCCAAAACCAGACAGAAAATCACCCTAAAAATCACCCCTAAATGCCCGAAAAACACAACAAAAATAACACCAAAACCATCCTAAATTCATCCCAAAAACGAAATTAACCCAAAAAACACCCTAAAGCAGCACAAAAAAATACCCCAAAAATACCTCAAAATCATCCTAAAACACCTTAAAACCAACCCTAAAATCACCCCAAAACCATTCTAAAACCATCCCAAAAAACTCCCCAAAAACTGACCTAAAACAGCCCAAAACCACCCAAAAATCACCACCCAAAAAAACCAAAAACTGCCCTAAAATCACACCTGAAACACCAACAAAACACCCCCAAAACTCCCAAGAAATTACCCAGAAACCATCCCAAAAACTCCCCAAAACAAACCAAAAAAATCCAGAAAAATCATCACAAAAACTTCCCCCAAAAAACACTCAAAAAAACCCCAAAATCATGCCCCTAAATCCCAAAAAATCCTAAATCCTCAAAACATTCCAAGAATTCCAGATTTTGGGAACTGAAGTCATTCCCAAAAACTCTCCTAAACCCCCCAAAATTCTCAAAAATTCCCCAAAATTCTCTAATTTCACCCCAAAACTCCTAAAAATTCTTCATCATTTCCTGTAACTCTGAAAATTCTGGATTTTTTGAATTGAAACTGTTCCTAATACCCCAAAAATTTCTCCAAGTCAGTCCTAACCCCATCCATCCCAAATCCCCCAAATTCCCAAAATTCAAAAAAAAATTCCCAAAAAGTTCCCCAAAATCATGCACCTGCACCCAGGCTGCACTCATCTCCCTAAAACTCTTGTCCATGACGTGCAGCAGCTCCAGGAATTTATGAATCACATCCCAAAAAACCCCAAATCCCTCAAAATTGCCCCAAAAAAAAGTTCCCCAGAAATTCAAAAACAGTTCAAAAAGATTCCCAAAAATCCCCCAAAATTTCCTGCTTTCACCCAAGAACTCCTAAAAATTCTCCAGAGTTTCTGTCACTTCCAAAAATTCTGGATTTTGGGAATCTGAGTGATTGGACACCACTCCAAAAATCCAGAAAATTCCTCTCAAAACCTCAAATATCCCCCCAAAAAATCCCCCAAAAAATTCCCAAAACGTTCCCCCAAATCTCCTCAGTATTCCTGAAATCCCACACCTGTGCCCAGGCTGTGCTCATCTCCCGAAAACTCTCGTTCATGAGACGCAGCAGCTCCAGGAATTCAGGATCCTGGTACTGGAAGCGATTCCCAAAAACAATGGAGCAGATGATATTGGACACGGCGCAGCTCAGCAGGAACGTGGGGTCAAAGGGTTTCCCTGGGAAATTTGGAGGAAATTTCGGCATTTTTGGTACTTTTCTGGGATTTTTCCAAGAAAACAATTTTTTGGGATAATTTTGGAGTAGTTTTGGGATGGATTTGGGGTAATTCTTTGGGATAAAGCAGATGATGTTGAACACGGCGTAGCTTAGAAGGAACATGGGATTGAAGGGTTTTCCTGGGAAAATTGGGAAAAATTCCAGCATTTTTGGGGTTTTATGGTCCCAAAATACCACCAAATTATCCCAAAATTCATTCCAAAAATCCACACTGGAACCACCCCAAAATGATCCCCAAAATCATCCCAAAAATACCTCAAAATGATCCCAAAAATCATCTGGAACCATCCCAAATTTACCCCAAAATCACCCCAAAGCTTCTCCAAAAATGTCCCAAAATCACCCCCAGAACTCTCCAAAATGATCCCAAAAAATAATCCTAAAAACCCAAAACCACCTAAAAACCACCCAGAAACCACCTAAAACCACCACAAATTGATCCCAAAATTTATCACAAAAAAACGGACTGGTATCAGCCCAAAATCACCTCAAAACTGATCCAAAAATCCCCCAAATGATCCCCAAAAAATCATCCTAAAAACCCCAAACCACCCTAAAATATCCCAAAATTCATTCCAAAAAAACCCAAAACAATCCCAAAACAATCCCAAAAAATGATCCCAAAAGCCACATGGAATCACCCCAAAACCAATCCCAAATGCTCCAAAAATCCCCCAAAAATAATCATCCAAAAAAATCAACCCAAAACTACCCCAAAACCTGAAAACCCTGAGGGGTTTGGCGAAATATCCAATGGTTTGGGTTTGGCGAAATATCCAATGGTTTGGGGGTTTTCTAGGACTTTTCTGGGATTTTTCCAAGAATATTTTTGGGGATAATTTCATAGTGGTTTTGGGATGATTTTTTGGGGATAATTTTGGGGTACCTCAGGAATAATTTTGGGATAATTTGAGGGGATTTTTGGGGTGGGTTTTGGGTGGTTTTCAGTTTTTCGGGATGATTTTTTGGGGATCACTTTTAGCTATTTTAGAGGCGATTTTGGGGATAATTTTGGGGTGGTTTTGGGGGAATTGGGGAGATTTTTGGGGTGGTTCCAGTGTGGGTTTTTTGGGATGAGTTTTGGGATAATTTTGGGATATTTTCAGGGTGGTTTTGAGGTGGTTTTGGGGTCATTTGGGGGGGATTTTGGGGAATATTTAAGGTATTTTGGGGGTAGTTTTTTGGGGGGTCTAGGGTTATTTTTTGGGTGATTTAGAGCAATTTTTTAGGATTATATTTTGGGATCATTTGGGGGTATTTTGGGCTGATTTTGGTGTAGTTTTTGGGCTGATTTGGTGCAATTTTGAGGGATTTTGAGCAGATTCCAATGTGGTTTTTTGGGATGATTTTGGGCTGATTCTGGAGTGGTTTTGTAATAATTTCTTGGGATCATTTTGGCATAATTTTGGGGTGGTTCTGACATGGTTTTTTGGAATGAATTTTGCAATAATTTGTGTGTGTGGGGTATTTCTGGAGTTTGGGGCAGTTTTGGGCTGATTTCAGTGTGTTTTTGGGGATAATTTAGAATAATTTTGGACTATTTTGGCCTGATTCTGGTGTGGCTTTTTCTGGCTGATTTTTTGGGATAATTTCCATGATTTTTCCCACCTCCTAAAACCCTCCGAAGTCCCCCAAAATTTGATACGTTGGGTTTTCTGGAACTCGTGGAGCAGCTCCTGGGCCTCCTCCTGGATCCGGCTCTCGATGCTCTGGCGGCCCATCCCAAAATCCCGGAGCACCATCAGGGAGAAGCGCCGGAGCTGCCGCCAGCGCTCCCCATCCGCAAAAACCACACCTGGAATGAGGAAAAATCTATGGGAATTGGGAAAAATCCATTAGGAAGAAAGTGGGGTTAAAAACAATGGGAAATGGGAAAAAACAGGAGAGAAATCCATGAGAAGAGGGGAAATGGGGAAAATTCCATGGGAAGGGGCAGAAATTGGAAATGTGGAAAAAATCCATGGAAAAGAGTGGTAAATCTGTCAGGGAAAAGTGCCAGAGCTGCTGCCAGTGCTCCCCATCCCAGAAAATCACACCTGGAATGGTAAAAAATTCATGTGAATCAGGAAAATGCATCGGGGGAAGAAAAATCTCTGGGAAATGGGGAAGAATTCATAGGAAATGGGGAAAAAAACATTGGGAAAGGGAAGAAAATTGAGGGAATATGGAAAAAATCCAGGGGAAATGGGGAAAAACAATGGAACTAGGAAAAAAACCCATTGGGAAGGGGCAGAAATTCGGAAAATTTGTGTTAAATTCATGGAAAATCAAGGAAAATGGGGAATCCAGGGTATTTTGAAGATGGTTTTGGAGTGGGTTTGGCATGAATTCTGGGGTAATTTTGGGGTGTTTTGGAGTATTTTTGGTGTTTTTTGAAATAAATTTTGAGATAACTTTGAGGTGATTTGGGGGATTTTTTGGAATTTTTTTTTTTGTGTGGTCTTGTGATTTTTTGGGGGTTTTTTGGGGGATGAATTTTGAGAAAATTTTGGGATGGTTTTGGGGTATTTTTGAGGATCCTTTTGGCTGATTTTTGGGGATAATTTGGAGTACTTTTTTGGTGCATTTTGGGGTATTTTTTGGGGGGTTGGGGATCGTGTTGGGGTATTTTTGGTGGTTTTTTTGGCTTTGGGAT